GGGGTTTTTGGATTGGCAGTACAATCTAGATAATAAATTCCTCTTGTTTGAGATATAATCCAGATTAGGATTTTGTTGTTCTTACGTAAAGCAAAAACCATTTTGCCTGCTGTTCGTACTCTTCATCCCATCCAGTTCTTCCAGGATCCTACAACTTTCTAAACTTTATTTATCCAGTTTGGATTTGTGAACTGCTCAGCTATACGGAATCACAAACGTCACAGCGATTGCTGTCTTTCAAGTACTTGTTGATATTTGCCTCTCTGATATGCTTTATGAGCATCTTAATGTGTGCGTTCGCCGCTGCATACTCCCTGCTGCTTGATTCACTACAATAATTTCTTCCTTTATGCTGCCTGAATTTTCTGACATGAAGAAATACTTCATTTGAGACCCCTGGGTTTCTACCACTTCTTAGTGATGTTATATATGAAATACACATACCAGTGTTTAACTTTCCTCAGAGCAGTATTTTGAGAGGTCTCCTTGCCCTCAGTTCAGGTGCTTCCCAATCTTTAGCTAGTTGTCACCCTTTGTGGTGTGTTCTAAATGATTCCTGGGTGGCTGGATGTCTGTTTGCTGCATTGGCGATGAAGCTTGAATTTTAAACGAGGCAGATTGTAATCTGAATTTCTATCTGGATCTTGTGGTGGATGAGAACTCTAGTTTTCTCCCATTTCTGCACAATGATACAATCAGTCGGCTGATCAGAAGAGGTACAATTCTATTTTCCCACCCTGATGGTGAAAGAAAGCATTTGCAAGGATAGAACGAGATTCTCAAAGCAGAGCTCAATGAGTCGATGTCCTCATTTGTTGATCTCACTCTCTCCCATCACAGCACTGACCAGTAACAACTTTCCTTCTAGACTGAAATCCCATGGTCTCAGCAGTGTGTTGTATCGAGTCTTGTGTTTGTCTGTGGAGGTCTTCAGTTTCACGAGCCTGCGATCCTTTTTTTGCAGGGCGTTTAAGATCAAATCCTGCTTACTTTCAAATGACAACACTTTTAAATTACCCTGTTTAATTTCATTCTTTGTATAAAAATCAGGCACTGATTTTTAAGTGTATTGCATCTGGGTATGGGTTTCCTCTGGATATTACTTGTGTAATGTAATTACTTGTGTAGGACATAATTGTAAATTATCCAGACTGTCTACAAAGCCAGTTAAAAATAAAAAAAGGGTGTTTTCTTGGTATAGGAAGAACATTCAAAATCTTTGTACCTAACTTAGAATTCAATTTCGTATTGTCTGTGGAACTATTCCTTTGATTCTGGATTGTCACACAGATTCTGCATTTCCTTAAATTATAGTGGTTCTTGTTGACATTGCCCTCTCTTACTAGTGAGGATTTGGTTTAGCAGCAATAAGTTAACCTGCTCTGAATTCACTTCTACATCTGCCAGTCTGTAGTTACTGAAAAGATTTCTCTTTTCTTTTATTTTTCCTCCTCTTTTCCCCTTGGCTAGTTCCGCATTTTCAACCATTTTCCTTATTTTCAAAGGCTTACGCCTGAGGGATTAAGATCTACATTCGTTTAATATCGGGAATAAGTTCCAAACTGCGAGGCTAAAACTTGAAGAAGGATCTTTGTAGAGATTAATATTTTCCTGAGCAATCTGTGAGCTGAATCATGGTCTAATTAAATAGCACAGATTTAGTGAGTTTGCATTTAAACATTAGCAGACCCTAGAATGGGTAAAGCTGAAATGAGTTTGAATCTTTTCTGTAAATGGGAAGTTAAATTATCATAGTAATTTGGTGAAATAATTTTTAAATCTTTCAAGCTAAATCGCCATTTTAAAAGAACAGTTTGAAGTCTTAATCACTGTTTGGAAGTGCCCCTCTCTCGGCTATTTTTTCTTACCTCATTTCCTGTGACAAAATCTGTTTCCCAAGACACAGCTTCTTCAACTCTGCTCCATGAACCACTGTTTGGCAGCGAAGTGCTTGCATCAGGCCCGTGGAGAGCTCGCTGGTCACGTTCTTCCCAGCTGCTACATTGATTTCAAAGACAGCAACAAATGCATTAAATGCTTTACTGCTATTACTTTTCCGTGCAAGCAATTGTTCTGTTTACTGGAGGGATGGTATACAATCACCCCTGCAAGGAGAGGATAAGGTCTCTTTTTTTAAGATGATGTCCACAGTGGAAGAGCTGTATCAGAGGGCAGATTTTGATTCACCTTCCGTTCTTGCGTTTTCTGGGGGTGTTTCCTTCCTCTTTTCCCTCCTCACTCAGTTTCTGTGTAAGAAATATATAAAGCATATATATTCCTAACGCTGCAGGCCAAATTGCTATCCGAACTGCAGAGCTGAAGATCTCGGGCAAGTTTCATCTCTGCGCGAAAAATGTATTAGTCTGGACTCCATCCATGTATTTGCAAATTCAAACATGGCCGCAGTTACAAATGCTGATTCTGGGAAGAATCAGACCAGTTTTGTAGAGGGTTAAACCCTAAACTTTTATAGTCAGGTTCTCCAGAAAGACCTGTCTCTTCATGCAGTATGGTGTAAAAAAAAATTCACAAGAACTTGGCGAGACTTTGACTCACCAAGCATTTTGTTGCTGCTAAAATGCTCCTATCTGGTTCCCCAGCAAATCTGGCCCTGGCACTGTGGGTCTGGGGAGAGGAGGAAAAGATGTGTAATTTCTGCACAAACTGTGCACGGTTTATAGAAAAATTATTTGGAGTAGCACATCGTGTCTTCTGTAGTACAACAGTGAATATCCAAGGACTTGCTAGAGTCAGGGAGTAAAGATGACAATTTGGAGTTTGCATTCCAAATTAAGCCTGGTGGTTGGACACTATGCTTAAGACATCAGTCACGTTTGTATGTGTGTGTTAGCATGTCTGTGTCGATATCATCTGTTTGTAGGACGCAGAATTCAGGGATTTTCTGTTATTGACACAGAATTATTTAATAGAATGGCCGTATTAGAAAACTATCAAAAATGTATGGATTTGGGGAATGGTCTCACATTAATTAGAACTAGATTTTGCTAGAGGTTTCCCTGTCATCTTTTTTAAAATGTTGTAGCTTTCTTTTTCCCTCAGAGAGATATTTTTGCGTTTCTCTGCTTTCGGCACAGTGCACCTTGATGTGCAGTATCACATCCCTGCAGCGTGTATCTTAACTGCATGCTTCTTAGAGCATGTATTCGCTAAGACTCAGAATTATTAAACATGTAAAATTCCCATAGGACTCCATTATGTGTAATTAACAGATAAACTGTCATCAGAATCAATAAAACGTGCTAAATGATCCAAACTTGTATATAATTAAGTGTCTGTTTTAGAGCGGGAGCTGTAACTTTTATTTTTTTCCTTTTCAATTTGCACATTTGTTTTGACAATAGAAGCTGGAACAGTTTTGTTAACCTGTTACTTACTGGTTTGTGTTTTGGTTTACATGTTTGTGTTTGAAAAGAGAGAGTTATTTACTATCTGCCCTAATTATCTGAGGAAATAGTTGCACGTCAGCTTTTAGGAAATGAATCTTAGATGCATCTTAATTCTCTGAATGTAATTCAGATATTTGAAGCACGTGCAAAATTTGATGTTGTTATCATCAACAGTAAAATGTGAGGCTCTGTCAAAATACTGATCCAGGGCATCAGAGTGCTTAATACAGGGCTTGGAAATGATGATAGAAGTGGGTTCTTCACCATCCAACTCCTCAGTCATTATTCTGTCTGGGAACAGGAGCTTTATTCCAAAACCAAAAATCAAGATGCAAAGCAGTGTTGTACTAACTAGAGTTTTCAAGGATATACTTTAATAATGCCACGTCCCAGCGTTTCACCCTGAGCTAAGCTTGCACCGTGTAGCCTATCCTTAGGACTTGTACCCCCTCGCAGCAGTTATATTTTCACATGGTGTTTTATTGGCTCTGTAAGTCTGTCGACCATCCAGATTTTGGTAGCTGATAGGGGCTGTTTGGTGGCCTCTTTCACCTACGACTGTTCTTCCTTACTTGCATTCACCTCGCTTTGGACCACATCAGGGCTTTTTTGGCATTTATGACTACATAAAAGTTGGAGAATTAGGGCTGCTCATCCGAAATCATCTCAGCATGGTCCAGTAACTGCATGTTCTCAGGGACATCTTCACTTTCTGTATCTATGCTGTTGAGGGTTTTACAGTTATTTCAGTCAGATCTTTTCTTTTTATTTCACACTTCCATTGCTTTGATCTTTCCAGGTCACGTAGCAGTTTAGTTTAGTTCCTGGTGTGCATTGCGTCTAGGCTTGTCACTCAATACTTACACCACCAGAACATCTCACCTGGAAAGGTACAGGGTGAGGTGCTTGCTTTGAGTGATTTAGAAAAAATGCAGAACCCCAACAATAACAAGATAAACCACCCTCTGAGTGGGTGGGAGAGAAGGATTACACCTTGTAGGAGATGTTAGCGTCGCAGCACAAAAGCTGTTCAGGAACGTACTAAGTGTTGTCTGTCTGTCTGAATGTGCCTGAAGGAGAAAAAATTTGCTAAACCTATCGGGAAATCACATCAAACCTGCTTTTCCCTCGTGTCAGTGCAGCGGTCCTAATCCCTGAGCAGAGGGTAACGACCCTGGCTTCCAACTCCACAGCCTTGGAGTCTGACACAGAAGTTTACCAAGCTTTTCCATAGTAGGGCAGTCATTCTTGCTTCCCTGACAAAACAGACCTCGATTCGTACAGCCCTTTGGCGCTCTCATTTCTTCAAAGCGGTAACTGTAAGAGATGGTTTCTGGAGCAGCAAGGGTGACTGTTTTACTTGTTCGAGGAGGATGAGGAGAAGGATTACTTACACAAGAGTTAATTATACATTTGTAGTTCCACAGCAGTTTCAGATATTTTCCTGAAGGTCCATATAGAAATTAGCGGGTAACGATCTTCCTTCTCTGTGAAAGAGGATGCACGGATCCAGTGGAAGTGTTGTGCAGCCGTAGCGTTACCTGACTTTTGGCACACCAAACTGAAGCCTCCTGTTGCTCCTTTGTTTTGCAGACTCAATGCACATAGAGGATGTTGAGGCAGTGCAGAAACTTCAGGACGTCTTACATGAGGCTCTGCAGGATTATGAGGCCGGGCAGCACATGGAAGACCCACGTCGCGCAGGCAAGATGTTGATGACTCTTCCGCTTCTGAGGCAAACCTCCACCAAGGCTGTGCAGCATTTCTACAACATCAAACTGGAAGGCAAAGTCCCCATGCACAAACTTTTTTTGGAAATGCTGGAGGCCAAGGTCTGACTAAAGCATCATGGGCTTCCCCATCATGCACGTTTTAAAAAAAAAAAAAAAAAAAAGGGAAAATAAACAGGATAATAATGGCAAAGAAACTTAGTGTTTAATTAAGGAAAAAATGACTGCACTGATATTTAGCAGCAAGACTGTGAAGCAGCTTTCAACTTTTTCTTCTGTGTCTTTCTGATGCAGTTTTTCCTTTCCTTTTCCTTTTCTCTCTTTTCCTTTCTGTTCTTTCCTTTCCTTTTTCCTTTTCTCTTTTTTCTTTGCTGCTGAACTTTTTAAAAGAGGTCTCTAATTGAAGAGAGATGGAAGCCAGGCCTGCCAAAGGATGGAAATCCATAATATGGATGCCAGTGAACTTATTATGAACCATAATGTCCCCAATGACAAAGGAATCAAAGAGAGAACCACCGTACCTAGCAGTACAGTACAACACGATGAACTGACTGAATGCAGTATTAGATTTCATAGGAGCAGTCTCTAATTAGACGACTAAGCGACGATGCATCGGCTGCTTCTTATCATTGCATTTTCCATCTAGATCAGTTACAGCCATTTGATTCCTTAATTGTTTTTTCAAGTCTTCCAGATATTTCTTAGGTTAGCTACAATGTAACTTTTTCAGGGAATAGTTTAAGCTTTATTCATTCATGCAATACTAAAGAGAAAGAAATACTGCATTTTTGTGCTGGCTTGAACAATGATGAACAATAATGAAGGACAAATGAATCCTGAAGGAAGATTTTTTTAAATGTTTTGTTTCTTCTTACTAACGGAGATTTTTTTGTACCAGCTTTACCAGTTTTCAGCCATTTATTAATGTGGGAATTTATCTTACTAAAGCAATAGTCGAAGGGAAGGTGCATATTATCACGGATGCAATTTATGTTGTGTGCCAGTCTGGTCCAAAACATCCAGTTTCTTAACATGAGCTCCAGTTTATAACTAAATGTTCACTGACTCAAAGGATTAGATTACACCTACAGTATATCCGAGTAGTCTAACATACAAATACTCCATGTCAAATACCAATCTGTAACGGTGTTAGGAGACAGCGACTGTACAAAGGTATAGTTGCTACGTGATTTCTAACTGCTTCAGTTGCAAATGAACGAGATACTGCCTGTTTGCAAAATTATAACCTCACATGCAGAAAAACCCTATGAACTAATAGTAGCTTAGAGGCAATAAGGCAAATGCCGACGTTTGCAAAATTAAGAAATCAAAATAGTAGACTTCTGACCAAATTGAAGAACTTAACACTTCTATACCTTATTTATTGATTCAGATTTTATTTTGTAAATGGCAATCTTTAAGAAGTAGCTAAACCAGTATATGTGCTTTTCAACCAGTATTGTCACAGCATGAAAGTCAGTCAGTTTGAAGACTGTTACGAGGTGTAATCTAATGTATAAACCGATTAGATGCCCCCAGAAAACTACAGTCGCTAAATAACCAATAAACAATAACCTCCATCAAATGCTATACCAATGTACCAGTGTTAGTAGCTGCTCCCTGTACTATGTGAACATCCTTATTCTATGTACACAGATGTAATTAAAATTGTAATCCTAACAAACAAAAGAAATGTAGTTCAGCTTTTCAATGTTTCATGTTTGCTGTGCTTTTCTGAATTTTTATGTTGCATTCAAAGACTGTTGTCTTGTTCTTCTTGTGGTGTTTGGATTCTTGTGGTGTGTGCTTATAGACACAGGGTAGAATTAGAGACAATATTGGATGTACAATTCCTCAGGAGATTACAGTAGTATATTCTATTCCTTACCGGTAATAAGGTTCTTCCTAGTAATAATTAAGAGATCGAAACTCCAAACAAATACTCGTTATGAACAGATACACACTGAAATCATAATATTTTCAAAACAAGGGATAATTTCTGTAACAGTTTATTATAGAATACCAATGTATAGCTTAGAAATAAAACTTTGAATATTTCAAGATTATAGATAAGTCTAATTTTTAAACGCTGTAAATATAGCTTTTATTCAATCATCTCTCAGATGTTGTTATTAACTCGCTCTGTGTTGTTGCAAAACTTTTTTGGTGCGGACAAGTTTCCAAAACTATTGCTACGTTGTGTGCTTTAAACAAAATAACAATGGGCTGATGCTCCATCGGCCTCGTGCTAGGAAAAAAAAAAAAAACTGTGTATCTATCATTAGCTATATGGGACTATATTGTAGATTGTGTTTTCTCAGTAGAGAAGTGACTGTAGTGTGATTCTAGGTAAATCATCATTAGCAATTCATTCAGATGGTCAATAACTTGAAATTTATAGCTGTGATAGGAGTTCAGAAATTGGCACATCCCTTTTGAAAAATGTCAAAAAAAAAAAATACAACTCCTGGGAAAAAGGTGCTGATTCTATAAGATTATTTATATATGTAAGAGTGCAAAAAAAAGTTTATTTTCCAGAAAGTTTGTGCAGGGTTTAAGTTGCTACTGTTCAAGTACACTATATATATATAAAT